AATCATGATGGGAAAACATTAGCAAGCCTGTTCACCAGGATCCTAGTGATGGCTTTATACATAACAAAGCATCAGGAGATAGGCCTAAAGTCTTTCATCATGCTGGTATTAGGAACCTTAGGCATCAACACCAAAGAAGTTGCATTTAATGTTGGCAAAAGTGTAGAAGAATAGAAGAAATACCTCACATCATTGATGAAGTATTCCCTCACAATGGACCATGAAACTCTAAAAAAAAAGATAAATCCATCAGGGTCAGGGGCTTTATCTCCTTATCAGTCACTCCCCTAATCAGAATACCCCCTCCTCGTCAAGCAAATAGTAACCATGCAAATCCTTCAAAAGATTAATATCACCAGCCACCATACTAGGATCAGAATTATCCACTAGCTGGGAGAAGTACCTAATAGCTTCAGCAGATATAGCTTCAAGCGACTCAAGCATGTTTCTATATTCATCATAAACAACCCTTATAGTGTTACTTTTTTGCTTCTTAGCAACAATGGAATTAAAAACTTTGAACCCTAGTAACCTTCGGTCATCTAGTCCACCTTAGAATTTTGATGGAAAAAAATAGGCTCTACCCTCTCCAAACCAGCCAAGTCAGCCTGCAAATACTGCTCCAATAAAACTCTTTGTGTAGAACTACCAGAGGATAAATTTTACAGCTGCACCTTATTGAATTCCTCACGCATCAAACTAAGCCTATTAGGAAGATCATCGAAGTGAGTTCTATTAAAACTCCTTAAACAACTCTTCAGCCTTTTCATTTTTTGAAACAGAACCTGCATAGGGTATCTCTGAACAGGCTCACTCCAGACTTAGCCACAACCTTCAGAAAATCATCATGCCTAGTTCAAAATTAAAAAAAAATGAAAAGGCTTAGGCTTACTATCAGGTATATCTTTCAGAAGCCAACCAAAGCTGGGGAATGATCAAAGGAACCAGGGGCCTGAAACTCAACAAAAGATTCACTCAGGATTTATTAAAACCCTATCTAACTTCCTGGATAAATACCTCCATTCTTGCTTTTAGACCAGGTAAACTGGGGACCTTAAAAGAGTAATCCTCCAAATAAAACCTTTCACAATAACCCTGAAAGTCAACCATCTCAACATAAAAATAAATCAAAGAACCATCAAAGTTAAAGTTGTCATCAGGCTTTGCAATGATATTAAAGTCTCCCCCCACAATCCAAAAGGAAGACCCAACTACACTGCCCATACCATCAAGTTGAACCCAAAGGTCTCTGTGCTCCATATCAATGTTTCTACCATAAACAACAGAGATATACAAAGGAATACCCCTAAAAATAGTCTTAATAGTAATCACTTGATCAATAACAAGATAAAAATCAAAAAATAAATTCGTCCTACTGTAAATTCAAATCTGACCATTTACATTATCACAATGATTAGAAATAACATTATAGTCAACAAAAACCTTATCAATAATCCTAGAAGCATAACTCATCCTAACCCTGTTTTAAGCAAGTAAAAAACATCCATATTCAATTTATTTAACCTCTGTAAAACCTTAACTTGTTTAATGGGACTATTCATCCCTCTAACATTCCAAAAACATATATTCATTAAGTAAAAAAAGATGAATCTCCATAAGAACTGCCAGCATTGCCAACACTCTTCTGTTGTTTCTCAAATGTCTAATTTTTTTTAGATTTCATATCCTACAGAAGTTATGCCACACCAAGAGAAGTTGCTCTCGCCTTTCGAGGTTGTTCATCAATACCTATAAGAACAACAAATTTGTTTTTCGAGCTTGCAAAAGAAACTCCCCCACCAGCTACTTTAGACTTATACTGAAACTTTTTGGAATAAGATTTTTCACCTGATTCACCAACCTTCAACTTAACAACTGCAGAACTAGTGGCCTTATCAGACTCCACTGACTTAGAATACTCATGATCAACCACTCCAACAGTAGCAACAGTAGCACTAACCTCTGGCATCCCAGGGGAATTAATCTCCATAGATTGAGGCCTACATTCCTGATCAACCCCTACAATATTTGCAGCAGACTATGACACCCTAGGGGAATTTACCTTAGCAGTAAGACCCCCACTACCATCATGCCCCTCCTTATCTTTCTTCTCAACGACCTTACCAGCTAACTGAGGACAAAATATGTCAGAATGCCCCAAAAATACGACACCCTGAACAACAAGGGGGAAACCAAGAAACTTCCACGCTAACCTTAACCAAATTTTCATCCCTTAAGATCACCTCAATTGATTCAGGAAGCTTTGCACCAGCCATTACCTCAATACACACCTTAGCAAACTCTAGCGTTGTTTTGATGTCGTAATCGAGTCCATGTGCAGAGGAATACCCAAAACACTTGCAATATAACTCAATACACGCTTCAAAAATAGCTCAAGAGGTACATTATACAAATGAATCCATACAGGCATTTTAACAAGGTCAAATTCTACGAAGATTAGGTTCTCATTTACGCAAGAACAATGGCTTGTTCTGAATATGCCAATGACTGCTCTCTAAAATCTAATCACGCGTCGTTGAATTCACGAAAGAGAAAACAAACAAATTAGGGCCAATAAACAATCTCACCTTGTAGAAGCACAGTCATAATCAACAACAAATACAGAAAACAAATCAAAGTAAGGAAAATGACACGCAAAGGAAGATGAGATCTAATCTTTGAGACCATTAGGCTTGCTAGTGTGCGTCGAGAGAGAAAAGAGAAACCACACGCTTGAAAAAACCGCAAGCTTTTGGATCCAAACCCAAATATTATGGATTTTATTGCTTTCGGCCTAACTTATTAAAGTTGTTCCATGAACCGTTGAGATGCTTGGATAAATGGGCTTTAAGGGTCTATAACAGCCCATCAAGCCCTTTGAAACAAGTTCCTCTTTCGTCCTATCTGAGCCCGTTGAAGAAATTTTATTTCACATCGTCACCTTGGCATTTCTACAAATACAAAATGGACATCTGATTTTCTGATTTTCAGATTTTCAACTTGTCCTTTCATAAGTTTTGTTTGTTTGTTTCAATATCCCAGAAAACAGCAGGAAAGAGATGATGCTTTCAGGTTTCACCTTTCCCCTTTCCCCTTTTCTCCGTTTTCTCTACTGTAAGATTGGTGTAGATAATTTGTTTGTTAATATTCTCTGAAGTGGTCTCTCATTATTTACAGGGGAATTCGTTTGACTCTCTCTATCTAAATGATTAATCTACATTTTGATGTATCTGGGACGAATACAAATGTCTTATTATTTTTGAGTTTGATCAATTTTGAGTAAATTTATCTATTTTAATGTGAAGTTCTTCCTTTTTTTGTTTTGTTATAGACTTTATAGTCTTGGGGAATTTATTTGATCCTTCCCAAGTAAAGGACTAATATACATTTTACAGTATCTGAGACCACTATCAATGTTAAAATCAAATTTCATTTTCCAATGAATGAATTTTCAGTCTGTTTTATTACAGTGCAATGGACTTTGTGTGTTGAATCTTAGCTTCTTTTTGTAAGAAACCAACTTAAAATGTGATACATTTGTCCTTTTTATTCTGTATTTCGGTTGGAAGGCGCTGTTTTTTTATTATTTTGTTCATTGTTGACTCAGGTTTAGCTACAGGAAGTCAATTCCAGGCTAAAGTTTTAAACTTTCATTCGAGGCCAATCACAAGTAACTTTGATTTTTACGATTTTGGATGATTCTTTGAATGTTTGGTTATTCTTTCCTCATGAGTGTTTGTATTAGCAGGCCAAAATGGAGGCAAATTGCTGGCCTTAAGAACCGGGTCATATCCAAAGAATAAAGTTAGATGCAACATTGCACAATCGAACCGAGACTTCTCTTCGATAGAGGGGAATGAAAAGGGTCATCCTTCGGTCAAAATGTGTGGTGTTACATCGGCTAGAGATGCTGTTATGGCAGCAGAAGCCGGTGGTGATTTCATTGGGATGATCCTTTGGCCCAAGTCCAAATGCTCTATTTCGGTTTCTGTTGCAAAGGAAATCTCGAAAGTTGCAAGGGAATATGGGGCTGAGCCTGTTGGAGTCTTTGTGGATGATGATTTAGACACAATTTTAAGAGCTTCTGATGCATCAGACATTGAATATGTGCAGGTATATATACTTATTCAATCTCGAATTCTCGATTACCTTTCTTGTAAATGTCGTTTCAATCTTATATAGCTTCATGGAGATCTTTCTCGGGCATATTTTCCGAACTTAGCACAAGAAAACAGAATCATATATGTTCTTCATGCAAATGAAGAGGGAGACCTTCAAAACCAGATTTCCGATGAAGAATGTTCTTTAGTGGACTGGGTTCTTGTAGATAGTGTGAAAGGTGGCAGGTTAGTAACCTTTTCTTCGTTTAGCTTAATTCAAATGCTTTGACTTTTTATGTCATTCTAATTCGATTTCAAACACTAAATCTAATTTGGGTACATGCTTTGCAGTGGCAAAGGATTTAACTGGACTCGATTTAAGTTACCGTCAGTCAAAAGCAAACAAGGCTGGCTTTTGGCCGGGGGAATCAACCCTAATAATGTTTGTGAGGCCATTAGTACCCTCAAACCTCGTGGAGTTGATGTAAGTAGCGGCATTTGCGGACCAGATGGTATTCAAAAAGACCAATTACGGATCTTTTCTTTCATGAGTGCAGTCCGTTCCGCGCCATATTGATTGATCCATCAACAGCTATTGAACCGTCCCCGCACATGGATAAGTTACATCAAACATATTCGACTATATAATTTATGTACCTTGAACTACAAGTGCCCGTACGCTAGTCTTTTCTTCAGTTTTTGCCCTCGATTTTTAAAGTAAAACTTGTAATAATGTTCCACCTTCATGGTGATGAATGGAAAATGCAAAACAACCTACTTTCCCTGCATGTTTATATATTTCCTTTTGATCATTTTGCACCTTAGAACATTGCACACGGTCTTGTCTTGCAGGACCATTAATGAAGACAACCTTGTGTGGCTACAGTTTTCTATATTTCATGCAAAGAATCTACAATCAACATCATACACAGATGAGGTTGGATGTAAAAACATCACAGGTTAATTTTCAATAGGGGGAGAAAGATCGACGATAGGCATGCCGTATTACATATCTGCAATCAGGGTTTTGCAGGAGAAAACCTGTAGGGTTTTACTAGTTCAGCTTGGAAAAACTTCAGCACTTTCAATCTGATTTGTTAGCTCCATATAGTTGGGGGTCTGTTTGATAGTAGACAACATCACCACTGTCACTCACGTAATGATCCTTTCTCAGGCTTCTTATGAGGACCCCGAGCAAATAAAACGGGATAGGCCCGGATTTCTGTGGCTCCCGGTAATATTTCCCGAGCACCGGCTTCACTGCCTCGGTCTGTAATTCAAGTTCATGTAACATCCTTTTCAGTATGGAGAAACATAACTGATGTAGGAGAGGGAGATGATATACTTACGGCTTCAATTAAGTGATAGTGTGGGATTTGGGGGAAGAGATGATGTATAACATGAGTTCCGATATCGTGGTGGATGTTGTTGATCCATCCATAGTCTCGATCGAGCGTCGTAAGCCCTCCCCTCATATAACTCCATTCCTGGTTAGTAATCAAATATATATAGCATTTCACTTGCAGGGTACTAAAGTTTCAATATCATGAATCATGATGTTTCATGGTGTAGCAGAAACATTTTTTTCTAACCTTTCCTCGGTACCACGGAAGCTTCTCGTCATGGCCGTGGTGGTGTAGGTAAGTAACCAAGTCCAACCACATGACAAATATCTGCATTTTATACGAGCATTAATACCGGAAAACAAAGACTTCTGAAGAAAATATGTGTTTGAAGGAACTGAAACATACCCAGTAAGGAATGCCATAGAGTTTAAGCAACTGAATTGGGCCCATTGTAAAAGATAAATACACAAGCAAACCAACCATTGCCGCCCAACAAGCAGTGGAAGTGATTATATCCTTTCTTTCATTCGAGTCGAACAAATCGCTGTCCGGATGGAAATGGGAACCCTTCTTCCCGGGACTTCGACCCCACTGTGTCCGTCGACAAAATAAATCGGTGTTTCCACGAACATAGGTTTGAAAATGAATTCAATCGGCGATAGAATCTACTGCTTACCAGATAGATTGGATAAGCAAGCATAGGGAAAGGCAAGGTGAACCTCAGTAATCTGGTTGCATTATCTAAACTCTTGTAAATTTTTTCAGACAACTGCCATAAAAAAGGAGTAAATTGCAAATTAACAATCAGTTGAAATGAAAATTACATGTGAATAACTCGTTCAGAAAAAGAACTGAAGACATTACTGGATGCCATGATTCATCGTTTTCGACATGTCCGTGGTTCTGATGATGAGTTCTGTGGCTAATTCTCCTGCATATATCCTCAACAAGTTGGCAATTTGATTTATACATGGCCAAAAATTTAGACCAAATTCGAGTTTTTGTAAGGAACTAACCATCCATGGTACGGGACAAGGATTGAAGAATGAAGAAGATGACCTGCAACACTGTTCAATCTCGTGTTGTTGGAGAAACTACCATGGCCACTGCAAAAACGCAAGACCAGACATGACAACCAAAGAAAAAACTTGAAATAAGCAACAACTGAGCGTTACCAGTCATGACCAAGAACAAAAAGGGCCCAAAACATGGTTCCCTGAGCAATCCAGTAAAGGGGCCAAACAATCCAGTTGTTGAAATAAGCGGCGACAGCAGCCAAACCACCAACAACAACAACATCCCTCAAAACATAACTCATAGATCTCCATGGATCCTTGACCCAGCAATGCTCGGGTATAGCAGCTCGAATGTCGGCCAACTTGAAAGGAGGAGGCGCAGCAGGGTCAAATTTACCATCATCTTCTTCAATCTCATTAATGGTCTGTACCTCGAAAGGAGCACTGACACTCAAAGGACCCACAAAGTTTATTCTTTTGGACCAAGTTGAGACCTTGAATGAAGAAGCAGCAGCAGGTAAAGTTCTGGACTTGAAAATATTATTTAAAGAAAATGAAGATCTGGATTTTGGTGTTGCATAGAATCTGATTCCAGGGAGGTGTCTTAAGCCACATTCTGATAAAACCGAAGTGGCCATTGGAGTCCTCTCAGTCAGCCTAATGCCACAAAGCTTCAGCCTTTAAAAGGAAGAGCAGGTAACATACGGGGCTATGGGGTTTCTCTACTCCTATTGTCCTGCAACTTGCCTAGATTGTACTGTACTGGTGAAATTATTAAAAAATTAGATTTTTACTGTGTTTGAATAAATGAAATCTTTCAAAGAAAAAAGGCACATTGGAACTTGATGGCTTTGGAAAACAGTAGTTAGTCTTGGCAATTTTAAAAGTTTAAATGATTTTCTTAATTTCCTTTTCTAAATTAAGATTTAATGAATTTTTTAAAAATTTGATAAGAGTTAAACTAAAAATTTAAAATTTTCTTATTCAAACAATTCGAGGAAACTCTCGACCACTGAACACTTATATTTTTTATATTTATGATATTAGAACTTACAATTATTTTGCTATTAATGTCATTTGATTTGTGTAAAATTTAAATTTTAAAAAAATAAATTAAAATTTTAAAAATTATATATTATTTTGAAAAAATTTGAGGGTTAGCAACTAAAGTTGATTAATTTTTTTTATATTCATCATTTTTGTTCCTTCAATTTTATTTCCTACTTTTTCTCTCTTTTTATATTTCTATTGTTTGGGAGGTTTTGTTGTAAGACGCCTAAAATAAAGTTAATGAACGGCGTGATCTATATTACATGTTAAAAGCTGAAGTAACATAACACGATGCGCTAAAATATTATACAAGGTAATAAAATGAGTTATAAACGATAAATGTTATAAATACTATTAATATTTTAGGTTAGGTCTAAAATGTTATCTGAATTTAAGCTGATAGAACATCAGAGTTTGCCAGGATAAGAAAATTAGTTAAAAATTGAAAATGTTATGAATATACATAAGAAATACGGTTATGCCCAATAATCTTATGGTTCACTAAGAAATATGTTACGATATGTAATGTTAATATTTTTATTGATAAAATAGGTTGCAATCTAGAATCTTAATATTTTTAATAATAAAATAGGTTGTGCCTAAAATGTTATCATAGTTTAAGTTGATGGAATTTTGGATTTTCCTATTATAAAAGAATAAGTTACAAGCTGAAAATGTTATGAATATATATAAGAAATACGGTTGCGCCTAAAAATATCATGGCTTATTAGGAAACATGTTGCAATCTGGAATGTTAATATTTTCATTAATAAAATAGGTTGCGCCCAAGAATGTCATGGTTCACTAAGAAATAGGTTGTGATATGTAATGTTCATATTCTTATTAATAAAATGGGTTTCGCCTAAGAATGTCGTGGTTCACTAAGAAATAGGTTACGATCTGAAATTTTAATATTTTTATTAATAAAATTGGTTGACCAAAGAATGTCATGATTCACTAAGAAATATGTTGCGATCTATAATGTTAATATTTTTATTAATAAAATGAGTTTCGCTCAAGAATGTCATGTTTCACTAAGAAATAGATTGTGATCTGGAATGTTAATATTTTTATTAATAAAATGAGTTGCGCCCAAGAATATCATAGTTCACGAATAAATAAGTTGTGATTTAGAATGTTAATATTTTTATTAATAAAATGGGTTGCACACTAGAATGTTAATCCTAACATTCCATATCGACTATTATAATTTGTTAACATTAACATTAGATGAGGTCAACCATTATAATTTGTTAACCTTAACATTAAACTCATCTTTAAACCCTGAATTTGAACAAGTAACCATAAAATGATTCCAACCCGAGTGTTAAACATGAAAACAAAACTCAAAGTAACTTGAAATTATTTATTTATTTATTTGAAGATACAACGACTCTAATTTTATATGATTTGATATTAAAATTGTTTAAATTCAAATTAACTAAATTCAAAACAATTCACCTAAAATGATAAAAATAAAGTAAAATCAAAATCAATTTAACTAAATAAATAAATCTAAACCTTAAAATGATCTAAACTAAAAAGTGATCTAAAAGTAAATTGAAACAACCCAAATATGAAATAGTTTAAAATTATAATAAATCAAATCTAAAATAAATCAAGCAAATAACTTAAAATTTTAAAATTCTAAAAATATGACTTAACTTGACCAGACATACCCCATTTAATAAGTCTAATTACCAGAAATATCGGGGATAAAACGGCATTTTTCTCGAAAAATACCGGTGACCGGTATATTTACGATCTAACACTGTCAGACTATATTTCTCGATCTAACACCCTTAGCAGTAAAGCGCGTCTCCTGCACCGCGCTATATGCTGATTTGGCGCCACGTGGGGTAAGGCGCCCCCTAAAGCACGCCTTATGCTGACATGGATACACGTGAATAAAGCGCGGGGTAGGTGTGTAATTACACCTAAGGTGCGGGGCAGGGGTCGCGCCTTCCCTGTGAATCTGACACGCGTCAGGAAGGCGCGCCTTAGGTGTAATTACATAACTACCCCGACTTCAATACCCCCAAACCTCCCTATAAATACCTCCATCCTCAATCACTTTCATCACACCAAATTCTCTCAATTTCTCTCAAATACTCTTATAATCTCTTCTAAGGTATATTTTATTTATTTTTAATAGTTTGTATTTAATTTATTTAATTTATTTAATATTTTAATTATTTAATTTTTTACAATATAAAATGGCAGACGATCTACTTCGTTTGGATGCAAATCATATACCTCGACACTTTGCTGATACGGTAATATTTTAACGTTTTAATTTAATTTAAATTATTAGTAATAATTTTTTGATTTATTTAATGCATGATTATTAGATTAAGAATTAATTTTTGTAATTATTTAATTTTAGGAGAAGTACCGTGTATTAGATCCTTTTATTAGGAATCTTAAGTTAGTGATACCTAGCCGTGTCTTGCCGTATTTAGTAGAGGCTGGATTCGGTTACATAGGTAGATGTTAGGGTCACTGTAAGATAGAGCCAGACCTGATTTCTGCCTTAATAGAGCGGTGGAGGCCGGAGACCCACACATTCCATCTTTCGTACGGAGAGTGCACGATTACACTTGAGGATGTTTCTATGCACCTGGGCTTCTGGTGGATGGAGATATGATATCGGGGATCACGCATGGTTCCTGGACTGCTTTGTGTCGGAATAATCTAGGGCGTATCCCGGAAAATTTTAACGGTGGTCGGATACCGTTAAATTGGTTAGATGCCAATTTTCGTGATTTGAGCAAGGCGCGTCTGAGGATGAAGTTAAAATGTATGCACGACCATGCATACTGCAGCTGATAGGAGGGTTGTTGATGCCAGAAAATCGCACAACCAAGTTCACTGCATGTGGTTGCGACACCTTGGCGACTTTCATCTGGCCGGATCACTCAGTTGGGGCTCGGTAGTTTTGGCTTTCCTGTACAGAGAGATGTATCGAGCCATTGACTACAGGCGTAATGCTATCGGTAGATGTCTCTTGTTGCTGCAGTCTTGGGCATGATATCGATTACCCTTTTTATGTCCCGTTGTCAAGAACCCATTCGTATTTCCGCTACTACTGAGGTAATTGTAAAACTGATTTTGCATATTAATAATTTTATACAGTGAATAAGAAATATTTTTCTTGAATAGGTGGTCTACTGATAGGAAAAATCATCAGGAGCTATCTGATGATTTAGAAAAAATTAGGGTGTTAATCGATCAGAAGGCTGGCACACAGGTATGAATTTTAATGTTTAAAAATCGATTTTAGATTATAGTTATATAATTAGATTATTATTTTGATAAACATTATATATATTTGTTTTAGTTTGAATGGGTGCCATATTCTACTGATGATGTGAGGGCGGTGATCCCACCTGAGTTGAGGGGCCCATCAGATGTTTGGATGGCGACGGTCCCCTTGATTTGTTATGTGGCCGTTGAGTGGCACTCCACTGATCGCGTGCTCCGGAAATTTGGTTGTTTTCAACCAATTCTGGAAGCACCTCGCAATATGGACGAGTTGCATAGCACAGATAGACGAGGTAAGACAGATATAGATTGGCTGGTGAGGCATCATGCGTAGGTCGTGTTGTGGGAGGATCGACATCGGCGCCTTCCCTGTAGAGAGCCCATTTTTGATGACCTCTTGATGGTTGCTGAGGGTTATTACGAGTGGTTCTGTAACACCCCCAACCCGTACCCGACCTGAATACAAGTCTGAGGTGTCACATTGATTTTTCAAAACCTTTACTTGAACAAAATAATGAATAATTTTAAAACTTTTACTAAATACAATTGACTAATTTACATAAATTAGTATCATATGATTTTACAAAACCAATTCGAGTATATCGAATTCAAATCTTTATTTGCATGCCAAATACATATATTTTCTGATTTGAACTTTGTAAAGGAGATATTGACCTGTCTTGCTTCACATTGCTCTCTATATTCTTCTCGAACCTACGTGTGAAACAATCACACGCTAAGTCAATGACTTAGTGAGGCATAAAACATATAATAAAACTCCAACTCGTAATCATGTTTGAACAATTTCTACTAACATATCACATACAATCATCACACCCACATATACATATAATAATTCCTACTATGCACCTTTTATATTTATATTCTCTTGTTTATATGATCAATTAAGTTCATATCATATATCTTATAGCATATACAATAATCACTAACACACATATATCATATCATATAATTCATATCACAAAACACATATATACACCACATACATTACATTCAATGTTATCTCTTATTAGCCCATGTGCACCTGTGAGAACTGTAGATATGTGAGTCTATTGAGGTTGTGCACCACTATATTGTCACTACATCTCATATAAATATCCCGAAGGACCTATCTAGAGGTCACAAAGACCCCGGTAACTATCCATAGGTCATAAAGAACCTCGGCAACTGTCCATAGGTCCCAAAGAACCTAGGTAAATTGTCCATATGTTCCGTAGAACATAGGTAAACCCTCGACTCTTGGCATGCCAACTATACCCCTAGCTCTCATATCACATAACATGGGCATTATCATCTATAACATTTCATATCACTTGTTCTTTCTCTTCT